AATGTACAAGAATGAATGAATGAATAGGTGGATGGAAGAATGAATAGGCTTTAAAAGTAATCACCAAAATCTAAGAAAACCAAGAAGGGCAGAAATTAGATACGTACAAATTAAAATCACATTAAAAAGTCACAGTGTCTGTGTTCCTCTTTCTTCATCTCTTCCTGACTCCTCACAAATGCAAGTACTCTTAACTTAAAACACCACTAAATATTCTATGTTCACAGGCATCACAAGCTTATGGACTATAAATCTTCAGCACCCAAATTCATATTACTTTAGCTTATGCTTTCTTAAAACAGGAATTCACGTAATCTTTCAAACAAATTTTTTCTCTGTTAGTATTACTCATCAACTCCCAAGTTTTATATGAATACTGAGAAGCAGGGCTTTTATAAATGGATAAAAGTAAACATTAAAGTATTTGCTGTTTGCAGTACTTGCCAAGGAAATACTTTTTTGTTTTCTTCCTGAAAGAGGAGTAAAAAGAGATTATTGCAGTAGTTAAATGCCATTTCCCAAGCTCTTAAGACTTTTCCCAACAAAGACAAACATGTCAGACTCACTTTGCCATTTCTACAAATAGAATGCTTGTTACAGTTACCATTGTTCGAAAAAGAACATTAGGCCCTAAGGAAGTTGTGACTTCATGTTTCACAATAAATTAGTAGTGAACCTTTGTTAGTTGTTATAAAATAGTCTGTTAACAACTCCCAAGAAATGAAAATTTCTCACAGACACGTGTACATGTAAATACAGATATGCCTGGTTTTAACTGATGGTACGATCCTGAACATTATATATTTCCCCAATCATACTTTAAATCTATCAGGAAAGTTTGCTATTAAAAGGTACTCCCTGAAAATATTATCTGAATAAAACTTGTATTTTATAATTTTAGATGTTTGAAGCTCTTCTTTTCTAAGGGCAAATTTATATTTTTCAGGCATTTCAGACATCTAAAAAGAAAAAAAAAAATCATGAGTCTACTACCAGACAGGCTGTTAGGAAGGATGCCAAGTGCTATTTAGTTCTGACTGAGAGGCAGAGCAGGGACATGCAGTATATAGAAGGTCAGGTTGGGGAGCTAAGATTAGGAGCTGGAAGTTGGATTAGATGACTTCTAAGGTCCTGCCCAGATCTGTGACTGTATATTTAAAGGCACTTTTGAGCAATGATGATGGATATATACTAATTGGTTTACATTTCTGGCTATCCCTTGTGAGTGAGATGTCAGGAATAGAATCTAAAAGCAGAAAAATTAAATTTGTCCTTACTCTGATCAGAACACTAACCATGGGAAATACAATCAACCTATAACTGATTTTTTTAAGAAACACACAAAAGTAATTCAATGGGAAAGAATACAACATCATAAAAAGAACTTCAACCCCTATTTCACACCACATAAAAAATTAATTCTAGATGGATCACAAATATAAAAGTAAAAGCTAAAATTATAAAGCTCCTACAAGAACACATTAAATGTCTTTATCATAAGGGGGTAAATATTTCTTAGGAATCAAAAAGCTAGACTTCATAAATACTTAACAGTTTCTCTCATCAAAAGATACCTGGAAGAAAATATATATAATGCATAGATATGACAAAAGAATCATATTTATAATATATAAAGAACTTCACCAAATTAACAATAAAATGACACACTATATAAAGATATACAAATAGCCAATAAATACATGAAACAGAAAATACATTAAAAACATTAATCACAGGTAAATAAAATATCACCACATATTCACTAGAATAGCTAAAATGAAAAAGACTGACAATACCAAATATTGTCAAGAATGTAAAACAAATAAAACTCTTATTCATTTCTGGTAGAAATAAAAAAAGATACAAAAACTTTAAAGAACATATAGGCAATTTCTTTTCTTTTTTTTTTTTGCAGATTTCGATAGAGACCAAAGTTGTAGAGTTTCATTTGGACAAATGAGCATGCCACAGTTGTTCTGAGATAATTATTGTCTTGAAACTTTTGCAAAACATTTTATGGAATGTACATTCAGAAATGTTCTGCCATACTGGATTCATTTTCCTTTGAAGCATACTTTAATGGCATGCATTCATCCCATCAAGGCACTGACCATGCCAGTTCACCTAGCTCTTAGCTTCTATATCACCTTTCATCTGTGCCATTCACTTTATTATTTTTTATTTATTTATTTATTTTATTTCATCATATTATGGAGGTACAAATATTGTTAGGGTTACAAATATTGCCCCTGCCCCCCACACCTCCCCCGATGTGTCCAATCCCCCGGCGGTGTGCATCACACAAGTTATGTATGGAAGCATACACCCCTTTCCTCCTCCCCCCTACCGCCTGCCCACCACCCGATAAAAAGTTTTGTTTTGATTTTTTTTTTGACATTTTGGTTACATTGTATATCTTTGCCTCTCCCTAAGAAGGGTTACAGTTATGCCCTTCCCTTACAAAATACTCGCCACCTCCCTAAGATTGGGTCCCCCCCCTCAAATCCCTGGTGAGCACTGCCACCATTTGAAAACCATAGTTTTAATCAGTCAGTACCAATTTGATGGCGAGTAGATGTAGGGCTCATTTTCCATGTCTTGTGTCGCCTCACTTTGGATAACGGGCTTAAGCTTAATCCAGGATAGCATAAACGGTGCTAGCTCACTGTCATTTCTTAGGATTGAGTAATATTCCATTGTGAGCATATACCACATTTTAATTATCCACTAGTGAATTGATGGGCTCTTGGGTTGCTTCCATGACCGTGCAATAGTGAATTGTGCTGCTATAAACATTTGGGTGCAGACATCTTTATAATAGAAAGACTTACGCTCTTTTGGGTAGATGCCCAACAATGCTATTGCAGGGTCGAATGGTATTTCTATTTCTAGCTGTTTGAGGGATCTCCAATTCTTTTCCACAAAGGTTGCACTAATTTGCAGTCCCACCAGCAGTGTAGGAGTGTTCCTGTCTCTCCGCATCCTCGCCAGCATTTGTTGTTTTGGGATTTCTTGATATAGGCCATTCTTACTGGGTTTAGGTGGTATCTTATTGTGGTTTTGATTTGCATTTCTCTAATAATTAGAGAAGCTGAGCATTTCTTTATATGTTTGCATAAACATATAGGCAATTTCTAAGTTAAATAACATCTACCATTTGATTCAACTGAAAACAAAAGCCCACAAAAAGATTTACAAGAATGCCATAGAAGTTTTATTCAAAGTCAAAAATTATTAATCCAAATGTCCATTAATGTTAGAATGGATAAACAATTTGTGGTATGTTTATGCAATGGAATTCTACTCAGTATTAAAAAGGAACAAACTACTGACACTTGCAACAACATAGATGAATCTCACTGATACTATATTAAGCAAAAGCCAGATGATCCCATTGATAGGAAGTAACAGAATCAGCAAGCTAATCTATGGCGATAGGTCAAAGGTTGCTTATGAGAAGGTGGGGACTGACTGAGGAGTAAGACGGATGTTTACAGGATGATGATGGTGTTTTAAGTCTTGGTAGTGCTGTGGGTTACACAGTGTGTCCATTCATCAACTCACAAATTAAGTCCACTCCAATGTTGTATACTTTACTCAATGTAAATTTTACTTGAAATAAAAAAAAGTACTCTTCAACAAAATAAGAATTATGAGTATTATAATTCTAGTAGGTTTGCTTTTTACAAAGTGGTATCGCTTGGCAATTCTGAAACTACTTTCTGAGTAGTTTACTTCTAAAAACAAATAAGTATATTGTAAGTAGTCATAGATTTCTCACTGTTGGAAAAAAAGAAAGATACAACTATAGGAAATTCCTTTTTACTTAAAAAGGGGAAAAAAAGAAACGTTTCAGTGAGGAAACTTAGCAGACATCACCTTAGACAAGTGATCGAAGTTACTTGGAACCAACTGACATCATGTGTCACTTAATGTAACGCACTAAGTACACATCACTTCTGTGATATTTGTGCTAAAAATGTATACCCAAATCTACTCATGAAGAAATAACAGACTCAAATTGAGGACTTTCTATAAAACAGCTGTGCTCCTCAATGTGTGATCCTGGACTGGTTCCTGGACCAAGTGGGGAAAAAAAATCTACCACAAAACCTGTGAGGTTGCTATTAATTTTACGCTTTGTACTAATAAGAAATTCCCTTTAAAAGGTTAAACAACTTTCCCAAAGTCATACAGTTCTGCGGTCTCTAACCCGCAGGCAGCCTGTTAGGGACCAAGCCACAAAGCTTGGCCTCCCTGGTGCCTTCCCCATGCCCACCCCTCACTGGTGGAAAAATTGTCTTCCATAAACTTACACAGCAGGAGGTGAGCAGTGAGTGGGTCATCTGTATTTACAGCCGCTCCCCATGGCTCACATCACCACCTGAGTCTGCCCCGCCTGCACCCATCCCTCCATTTCCCCAATCCCTGTGGAAAAATTGTCTTCCATGAAACCAGTCCTTGGTGCCAAAAAGGTTGGGGACTGCTGACACAGCTAGTATAGGTGAGCCAGCATTGGAAGCCAGTTCTGCCTACCTCTAAAGTATATGCTTTGAGCATTATACTTCGTAGCAGGTTGCTCTTTCTATGGCTAGCCACATTAAAGAGCTATAGTCTTAATTAAAATTTTCACATGTACTAAAATTCAGTTAAAATTGGGTATTATGTCATATTCTTTAATAGAAATAATCAAATGCTGTATCAAAGTTGAATATTTCAAGTTATCATAGAAATAAAAAAGATATAGCAAATGTAATAACTGTCATTCATTCATTCTATAGTAACTTACTTTAAAAGAGTTTTTTTTTAAATATAAATGAATTACTTTAAAAGAGTTTTCTTAAAATATAAATGAAAGTAAACTCTAGGTAGATGTGATAAATGAAAATTACAATAACATCTATTGTAATCTATAACAACAGAACAATAACAAATAAAAACTCACAATGTTAGCATAGCTGCTGAATTCAAACTTTCATACTTACAAAAGGTACACATACCTTTTCCTAAATGTGTGTTTATGCTCATATATCTAGCTGTTCCTGTAAGGCTCTTGTGTTCTCTATATGGTATGTGTTTCTTTGTCTCCGGATCAATATATTCCTTTGCCAAACCAAAATCTATAATATGAATAACTTGCTGGGTTTTGTTTCCTGGTCGTCCTATTAAGAAGTTCTCAGGTTTTACATCCCTGTATATCAAGTTCTTTGAATGAACATATTCCATGCGAGAAATCTTGATTTAAGAAAAAAAAGAAGAGACATTTTATTTTGGGCTTTGAGTAGCCCAAGAAAGCATGATAGAAGAAAGATAGAACTTTCACAATAAAAACAACATAAAAGAGAAACAAATCAGAAATTATTTTCAACCCTTTAAAAGTAACATGATATATATTTTATATATCCAATTATTACTAAAAATTTTTGTCTTATTATAGTCAATGAGAAATACAAGTGTTTGAATTTTATGAATTCCTTTAATATCAATCAGTAAGCCTGATTCAATAAATACTTTCAGAGGATGCTATCTCATAAAATCCAAAAGCTTTACTGATAGAAGATCTTGAACTAAAAATATAACCAAGCATATGCAAAAAGTTACAATTTATTCTTCCTTATCAGTTCAATAATCAAACAACTTTTATAACTATATGAAAGAAACCTAAGAGTCAAACTGTTAAACAAAAACAATTAACAGCACCCATTCAGTATTTCTTTCTTTTTCTCTTTTATAACTTGTTTCCTTTCTTTTTCCTAGGTATTAATACTTAAAAATAAGATCTTAAAATTAGAAAAGTTTGGAATCCAACTCTAATAATAATATAGTACATCACTGTTTCACATATTCTCAAATAATGTTCATTGTACAAATTGTCACAAAATAGAACATCACAAATAATAAAATAAAATTGCTTCATTTAGTGATGACCATGCAATGTAAACATATAGTTACATAGGCCATTCTAGTTTGTTTAACAAACTTCAGATCACATAATATATAATATTCTATGGCATATACTTTTAATTAATGGTATGTTATAAGCATTTTCCAGGCCATGAAATATTTTTAGTATGTACTTTTTAATAGCTATGTATTATTTTATGGCTATTAATAATTTATTCAACTAACCCTGTTATTTCTGCACATTTGGGTTGGTTCTTCTTCTTAGTATAAATGTCCTTGCACATACAGCATTAAATACATCTGAATACTTCCACAGGATAAATTTGTAGATGTGGAATTAATGAGTCGATGGATAAAAACAATTTTAAGACTTCTGCAGCACACTCCTATGGACATTTATTTAAAAACTACCTTAAATCTTCCTCTAAATTATTATTCCATGGGTTTCCTAAAGTTTAATTTATTAAGACTCCTTTGTTTGTTTGTTTGTTTCTTCTTTTTCTAGATCATAAAGTCTATTACCGAGACTAAGAATCCATGTTTCTGAGAGTTTTCTTTTGAATTATTCATCTTCTACATGAAAAGGTACTATTTAATAGAAACACCTTAATTCTCAAACTGAGCATTCTTAAAGTAGTTAAAATACAAATTTTCATACAAATAAGTACACCTGACTCAGTGATTTTAAGATATATGTATCCTAGAAAGACAATATGAAAAGTAGAAACATTAATATTAAGTCAAATTCCATAGGTCTTACTCTGTAAGATAATGTTCCAAAACTTTAAACTTTTAATATAAATTTGTGACCAGCAAACAGTGCAATCATTCAAACAACTTCATACATCCTGCTATACTTACCAGCTGTATAGCTATCATTAGAACTGTTTTAAGAGAAAATGTTCTGTCACATAAGTCAAACAAGTCTTCCAAACTAGGTCCCAGCAGTTCCAGCACCATAGCGTTGTATTTACCACAAGGGCCAAAATAGTAAACTTGAGGTATACCATCTAGGGGGAAAGAAACAGTCGTTTAATAATCTCATCAAATTAAATACTAAGGTTTTCTTCCTAGAAAAATCGATAAACGTTTTTTTAAATTTTATAGTTTCAAGAATGGCAGCAGTATTTTTACTGATACACAATAAACTTTTCCTGACCAAGCCTCTTTCCTTCCTATACCTTCTCCCTGATGTTCACATTGTAGCCTGGTTCCATCTCTACTGCTGCTATATTACTAAACTATATTATAAATAGTACTTTATTGTTTCTCTCCACCACCTCACTATGGACAAGAACTACATTTTTTAGCCTTATATTTCCATGTCCTAAATTCTTAGCACATAGGAAAGATTCCATTTTTATTGAACAAGGGAGTCACCGCTGTCTTTAATAACCCTGTGGTAGGCATACTACTAGATCACCCCTCAAGATTCCCATGCTCTGGTATATATACCCTATATAATCCCCTCCCCTTGAATATGGGCAAGATCTCTAGGATTTTACCCATGCAACTGGCTAAGTTATAGCAGAGGTGATATAATTAAGGCCTCTATCTGTTGACATAAAGTTAATCACAAAGAAGGGGCTTTAAAGAACGTGAAGAAATCAGAGAGACTGGAAACAGCAGAGCAGCTCTCCTATTGGCCTTAACAGAGCAAACCACCATGTTGTGGAAAGAGCCACATGACAGAGAGAAAGTCTCTAGAAACTGAAGGCCTCAGTCCTATCGCCACGGGGAACTGAATTCTGGCAAGAACCTCTGAGCCTGGAAGAGGACTCTGAGCCTCATATAAGATTGCAGTCCAGCATTACACCTTGATTTCAGCATGATGAGTCCTTCAACAGAGGACCCAGTTAAGCCATGCCTAGACCCCTGACCTGGCAAATTGTGTGATTATAGTCTCTCATTGTAAGCCACAAAGCTAGTAATAATCCATTATGCTACCCTTGTTAATGATCCTTGTAGCCAAAGATAATTGTCTCAAAACAACTTACGCAATAACCGTCCTCATCATTTCTTTAAAAACCCCTATCTTCCTTTACCTCTCTGAATAAACCCAAGCATATTCCCATTGTAATGCCCATTCCCAAATAAATACCATTTTCTTTTAAAGAATCTCCCTCTCTGTCTGTTATCTAGGTTTGACACTTAATACTGTATCTATCTATTTTTGGTCATGAAGAAATGAATATCTTCCACCACAAATGTCTCAGTTTTATTTCCAAATGATTTTTTCAGTAATTTTAAAAGGGAAAAAGATCTAAAATATAATAAAGACTTTTCCATTCTTTTTAATGAAGAATTATTTTAGAAACATAATATCATTTTTATTGTTTACCCTATCATTTTGAATATAAATTAGTACAGGAACAGAACAGAAAACACTGAACTAGAAACCAGGAAAACCAGGTTCTTACTCTAATATTACCTAATATTCACCAGCTGCTTGGCTAGTTTGCCATTCAACCTCTCAAGTGGACCTCCGTTTGCTATCTGTATTAGTTGTTTGGATAAAACCACTGTTCCTCAATCGCAAATATAAGTGAGGCAGCAGAACATGTGGGGGCAGGAAGGTGAGATAGTATAATCATGGCATGGGCAGGAGAATGAGGACAAGTTCAAACCTCATATTTGTTTCCTCTCTAGAAAAAAAGATTCTGATATACCCCCATGTGTATATTTCAACACTCTGCAAATACACAAATACACACATACACACACTCATTACACATGCTTGTCCCATTTCTCTTTGGCACAGGGAATCATTATCTTAGTGTGAGCCACTTCTACCACAGCCACTGTTACCACATGTGTGTCATATCTACCCCTCATATGTGTAAAAGCAAAGAAAAGGTTCAGAAATTGAGAATGAGAGGCTTGTTAAGCTTTTTCCTACTTCAAAATCCTGTTTTTACTATGGTATATACATATGAAGAGCTCGGAGCTGCAATTAAGACTTACCAATAGCTCTCAGCTAAGCTTTCAAAATTCTTTCTACAATGCTTTTTTCCCTCTAAGCCACTGAAAGTTGTTAATTTATACGTTCTCAATTTAACAACCTCCAATAATTCATTTCTACTATTTAGTTTGTTATTTTTGATATGTAGGGTACAAGGAAACCAGATCATCAAGGCTTATTAGAACTATAAACAGAATGTAAAAATAAACAGGTTTTGAAGATCTTCAATGAAAAGACTGTTCAAGGGATTCTCTATTTCCATCTGAGACACAATCTATATTCCCAACAGTTAAAGTTAGGAATAAAGTTGTTGAGAAATGATCTCTAAACAAGGCAACAATATGTTTTGGTTTATTAAATCACTGTGTTTTTTTCAAATATTTTCAAAAGTTTCTAAAAATAGAAAACCATATAAAGAGTTTTTCTGTCTTAATTAATTCAACAAATCAACAATAACTTATCGAGCATATACTACATCCTTATGGAATTGGGTTGGGCATTATGGATACAAAAGTGAACAAGACACCATGACTAAGGATGTTTTAACCCAGGAATGCAAGGTTGTGTTAGCATGTAAAAATCCACCAAGGTAACTCACCATAATAACAGAATAAATGTGGAGAACCACAAGATCATCTTAATAGATGCAAAGAAAGCATCTGAAGTAACTCTGAACAAATTTGAAACAGAGGTTCCTAAATCTGACAAAGAACATCTATGAAAAGCTACTAGCTAACATCATACTTAATGGCAAAAGACTGAATGCTTTCCATTTATGACTGGGAGTCAGACAAGGATGTCTACTTTTACCTCTTCTATTCAACAAGGGAATGAAGCAAGAAAAAAAATAAAAAATAAAAAGCATTCTCAAGAATGAATGAAGTGACCCTATTACTTCAAGAAAAACTGATGATTATTAACTAATAATAAAATTCAACCTAAGCAATAATTTCAATTTTGTAAAATTTGTATCTGCCATGATGACCTTAATATCTTCCCAATACTTAAAAACTTATTCTGATGAAATTGTGGTGATATTAACTATTATGATTTACTTTGGGATAATGAGATGTATCAATATTTGAAATACATGCATAACTCAGTAAAACAGTATATTGCAAAAGACCAATGCTGGTAGTTACAAAATCACACATGGGTAAATGATTCATTTAAAGTACAATGGATTTTAATGTAAGAATGTAAGCAAGTAGGAAAAGTTTTCTGATATGACTTCTAACTCTACATTGCAACTGACATTTAAGAAACTACCACTTACCAAGTTTTGGTGTAGTATCAAAAGGATATTCATGATTTACAAGTTAATTAATTAGTCAAGATCGACAAAGTTATGGATTAAAACACTGATAAGATTATAAAGCAGTGCCTTTTTAAAGGAAAATTACCTTATCCTTTTCAAAGTAAGCAAAAGTATGCATGCAATGATCTTTAATTCCACTGTTTGTTATAGTAAAAGAAGAACTGTCAAGAATATCATGAAGCCTGGACTAATTAATCAAATTATGTCATACCCATTCTGTGGAATACAATACTGCCTTTAACTACTTTAGAGATAATTGTGAAGAACAAACCTTTCCTATTTACTTCTTATAATACTGCTAATTAAATTTTTTATTGCTTACAACCATGTATTACTTTTTTTTTTTTTGAACCAGGGTCTTGCTCTGTTGCCCAGGTTAGCGTATATGGCATCATCACAGCTCACTGCAACCTCAAACTCTTGGGCTCAAGTAATCAGCCTGGTTCAGCCTCCCAAGTAACTGGGACTATATGCGTGCTACCACGTCTGGCTAATTATTCTTATTTTTTGTAGAGAAGGGGTTTCGCTATGTTGCTCACACTGGTCTCAAACTCCTAGCTTCAAATGCTCCTCTGGTATCGGCCTCCCAAAGTGCGAGGATTAGTAGGCATGAGTCACAGAGCCTGGCATACTTTTAAAACAAAAATATTTTTAATGAGTCATTAAACATACATATGACTAGAAAAGATACTAGAAGAAAAAGCCAGAAAGCTACCAGATACTACTGGAAGCACAGGTGATTTCTACTTTCACTTTTGTAGTTTTTGGACTTTTCCCAATTTTTATGAAGAATATATTGCTATTTTTGCAATCAGGAGAAAAATGCACATTTTAAAAATTCTTCTGAGATCACAAAGAAAAACTCGAGTTGGAAAAGTATTTAGACCAAACTATAGTTTTATTTCCCAGGAAAAGTCTGGACAGCTTTTGTTATCACTGAGCAAACAAATTAAATTGTTAAGAGTTAGGAAAAGTTGCAACTAACAAACAGAGGATAGGACAGCGTGTACCCTAAGCAAAGAACAAAACAAAACAAAACCACCACAACAACATAAATATGGCAGACAAGACCACCGGGTAGAGATTTTTATGGAAGTAAGAGAGGTAAGGGAAAAACGGGTAAGAGAAGAGAGGCCCAGAAAGAAGGCTTAGAAGGAAGAATAATGGAGGAGTTAAGATACTGGCTATCTTTATTGATCAAAATATTTGGCTCCTGAATCATGTAAGTACAATTCAACTCATGAGCAAAAAGCAAACTTTTGCATGTATGTGTTCTTACACTCAGTGAATTTTCAACTATAAACTCATATTCCACCCATTTCCAATATTTCTAAAATTATTTTTACTTGAGACTACTATATAAAGCCATCCATTGTGAATTCGTGTTAATGTCCAATATCTCTAATTTTCAAGGATGCTCATTAGCATCTCTAATTTTCAAGAAGTCTGTTTTTTCCCAAGAAAAGCACAAGAATGAGTAAGAATACAAAATTCACATATTTGAAAACAGTCTTATCCTTACTTCCCCAAAACTCACTTTACTAAATACTTCATTTTATATTTCAGTATTCCATTTAAGTAACAAAACAACATTAATTAATTAAAGTCACAAAACAATAACACATAGGAAGTTTAACACTATTAAAGCCTGCTTTGTACTTCCTGCCAAGTCTTCAAATACTTCAGTCCCTAATAGGTGGGCATCAGTTAAGCAGATCATTAAAAGAAATACTATCATGATTCATTTCACAGTAATAATATCACAATCCATTTTCAGGTCCAGAATTGTTCATGTAAAATGTTAAGTAGGAAGAATTAGAACCAAAGGATCAGCATACTTATTAGGAAATTTAAACCCCACACCTCTGGTTAAGAAAACCTAAAGTGTGATTAGGAATACTAAGTACAGAATTATGATACAGGCTATATTCATTTTTAGGGAAGTTTTGCATTAAGGCAATCTTAACTTTAGCATAAATACTTATACTCCTAGGCCAAGAGTTCTCAACATGCAGTGTGAAGACACTTGGAGACAGAGGTGGTCCATGAGACCCTTTCAAGGGGTTAGTGATATTAAAATTATGTTAGAGTAAATGAATACATTATTTATCCCTTTTAACTCTCAATCTCTAACAAATGAACAGTATATAGAATATGTGATATCACAACAGATTGAATCAGAAGAACATATGAGAATGCAGCTGTTTTCTATTAAGACAGATATTAAAGAGAGTTACAAAATATGTAAAACAATTCTACTTTTCTCACTTTTTTGTTTTGAAAAGTACATCAACAAAATTGTTTTGATATTAAAATGTATGAATTATATTATTTTTAAATAAATAAATATAGCAACATTTTCATATTTTTTTTAATTTCCAATATAGCAAATATCAATAGTTATATCCCACAACAACAAAAGCTCTCTGAGATCCTCAAAAAGTTTAAGAGTATAAAAGGATTCTAAGACCCAAAAGTTTGAGAATTCTGTCCTAGCTGAATAGTAAGCTCTGACATGAACAAAACAAGTGCAGTGAATTATGGACTTGGTAGACAAGTCCTTCCATTAAGACCATGATATCTGCCATTTAGTAGTAAAACTCTACTAATTAGCCTCAAATAAAAGGAGTCAAATGAAAAGAATCAAGTCACCCTACTAGAGAAAGAAGCAGAAATACAAAGAACATTAAAGTACAACGAACATTAAAAAATAACATCACCTACAAACAAGTAAAAGTTTAAATGTTACAAAAACAGAATTTATTATCCTCTTTGAGCATAAATAAGGAAGGAAAAAAGGACTATATAATTCTTACCTCCAGCTCCCAAGGTTCAAGCTTATAAATCTTTTCTTCTTACAATGTGCTACATTATACTTAAACCAAAATGAATATGAAATTATCATTTCATTTTTCATGGATTTATATTGTCTTTTACTATTATATGGGGAATTACAAAAATGATGCAATATTTAAGATAATTAAATCCCTTAGCACCATTTAGTAATACTCTATTCAAAAGTATGCTTTTTGTTTAAAAATCTTATTTGATTAATTAATCACTGAAAATACTACAATTACCACATAACACATAACTGTCCTAACACCTGCACCACATAAGCCAAACTGAAACCGCCATCAATTAACGCTTCTCTTACTGATGAAGCATACCATTCCTTAAATGTACACATTCTCCATAACTTAACCATTAAGTATATTCACACCGTTGTGAAACTATCGCCATCATCCATCTCCAGAACATTTTCATCATCCTATACTGAAAATCTTACTCATTGAACAATAATTCCCCATGTCTCCCCTCCCCTCAAGCCCCTGGAAAACACCATTCTACTTTCTGCCTCTATGTATTTTGATTACTCTAGGTACCTCATATAAGTGGAAGCCTACAGTATTTGTCCTTTGTAACTGTTTCATTTTACTTAGCATAATGTCATCAGGGTACATCCATATTATATCATATGTCAAAATTCCCTTCCTTTCTAAGGCTGAATAATATTCCATTGTACGTATATACAATTTTGTTTATCCATTTTTCTATAAAAGAACACTTGGGTTTCTACCTTTTGGCTATTATGAATAATACTGCTATGAACATGGTGTACAATTATTTGTTCAAGTTCCTGCTTTTAATTCTTTTATGTATATTTAGAAGTAGAAGTGTTAGATCAAATGGTAGTTCTATGTTTAATTTATGGAGGAACCAACATACAGTTTTCTACAGTGACTACACCATTTTGTATTCCCACCAGCAATGCACAAGGGTTCCAATTTCTCCACATCCACACTAATACCTGTTGTTTTCTGAGTTTTTTTATTTTGTTTTGTTAATAACCATATGATGGGTGTGAAGTATGTCACTGTGGTTTTGAGTTCCAATTCCCTAATAACAAGTGCTACTGAATATATTTTCATGTTTTTATTGGTCATTGGTATATCTCTGGAGAAATGCCAATTCAAGTCCTTTGCCCATTTGGATTGTTTCTATTTTTGCTGCTGAGTTATAGGAGTTTTTTTATATATTCTGGATATTAATATATTATTATATATTAATATATTAATTAATATTATATTATAAAATATAATATTATATATTGTGTTAATATATAATATTATATAAAATATCATATTAATATAATTTTAATATCTATTAATAATTAATATATCAATATATTATTTTGTAAGAATACTAACAAATTGCTGTCTAAATGAAATTTAACACACCATAGGAAAGTTATAGGTTAAATTACTTCAAATGGCCCATTTATTATTAAGAGCAGTCTGAAAACATAACCTTTTCAGGTGTGAATTCCAAAATCAAATTGTTTCAAAGTCATCAATCTTCCCAAAACACTTAAGCACTCTTGTTTTTCTACAAAGCTCACTTGGGTAGTCAAAAGATATTTTTTAAATTCATGATTGATTTTAAACACACACACACACACACACACACACACACACACATATACATACACAAAGTACCCCCAATTCATGATTCATACAAAATACTAAAAAACATCCACACCTGTCAGAATTTCAGTGCCACCATGATGCATACCCATTCATATGCAAACATATGCAAACCATTCATATTTCAATGTATGTTAATGACATCCATGCAGCACAGGGGAGCACCCTTAAATACACAAGACTACTATGTAAATGGTGGTACCTACCTACAGTTGTGCAGTACTGAGGTCCTAGGACAATCAAGTGCTAAAAGATGTATATTTCATTTTTATTCTTACTATATTTGACATAATTTTTAAAAGTTAAAACAGGCGAAGGTTAAAATAATAAAAGCACACTTTTGTTATTCAACTCAATGACTTGCTAAACTCCAAATTTACTTATTCATTCCTATCCAGTTAAACTATTCAATCCTATTTTTCTAAATGACAATTTTACTACTGTAGTAGAGAAAGACCTGTTGTTTTTAATCTCTCCAGCATCCAATACCCCTTACATAATACCTAAATTCCTGAATAGGCAAATACCGCTCCCTATTCTCAGTCTCAGAAGTTCAGTCAGCTGCTGAGATGAGCACATGATCTAACTCTGGGCAATCAAATTCATAGTGATTAAATCAATAAAAAGCATGGGACCCAATATAGGACAGTAAGATTCAGTCCTAGAATGTTTGCTGGAATTTTTAAGAAAGAGATGTTTTCATAATTGCTAAGCCTACATTATTGATGGCCACCTCCACCATCTCTTAAGAAGGGCCAACCAGAAAGGGAAGCTTAGGAGTATAAAAAAGGTAGACCACAAAGACTCAAGATGCTGATGATAGTATTTGAAGTCCTGGATACAGCAATGTCTTTTATATCAGAGCACTTACTTGAATTTCCAGGATGTGAGTCAGTAAATTCCTTTTTTCCCCACTTAACTTCTTACTTGCTAGTGCTGACTAGTATATGTGGTTTCACATACAATTAGCTTTACCCCATAGCCTTTAAATCTCAGTTGCCAGTGATAATTTTGATAAATCCCTGAGGTGTGTCCATATCAGACATAAATATGCATTATAAAAAGTCTATAATGATAAACACATTAAAACAAAATTTCAAACTTATTGGTTCCTGCAGTGATTTGCAAAGTATGATCTTTAAAAAAAGGCAAAATCAATATCAGTATTAAGAAATAGACAGCTCTACAAATTAGAATGTATAAACATGCTTACAGAAAGATGTATGAAACTATCCCATTTTATTAAATCTGGAGAAACAAAATACCACTACCTGTATTATATAAGAAACTGTACAAGTAAAATCATTACAATTAGTAGAATAGGAGTATACAGAAAAGTAGAGCTGTGAGAAGCTTTAACATAAAGGAAATGCGACATACAATAGAAAATTTTTCCACTAATTTTCTCCAATGAAACAAAGTATTCTCACTTAAATTTAGGGTTTATGTAAAAATATACCCATATTAGCTACTGTAACAAATTACTACCAATTTGATGGCTTAAAACAACACAAATTTATTTATTCACACTTCTGGAGCCTAGGGTATCTAAAATCAGTTTCACTAAGCCAAATCAAGGTATTGGCAGCGCCACTCTATAGCCTTTCGAGGCTATAGAAAACCTCTTCCAGGTTCTTATAGCTGCAAAAATTCCTTGGATTATGGCTGTATCATTCCAATCTCTGCTCCAAGATCACAGTGCCCATTCCTTTTCTGTGTCTGTAAAATATCTCTCTGCCTCTCTCTTACAAAGATACTGCAATTGCATTTGGGGCCCACCCAAATAATCCAGAATAATCTCTCCATCTCAAAATCCTTAACTTAATCATGCCTGCAAAGTCTTTGCCACATAGTAACATTTACAGGTTCTAGGGAGTATGATGTGGATATCTATTGGGGACTATTTTTCAGCCTATCATAATAGCATAATTCCCTTCAACAGCTATAATATTGTCAAAAAGGCTAAGAAGATGGAAGCTATGTGCATTTTATATTCTTAAATTTTTTTCACAATGTTCTCTACTCATATTTATACCAACATAAAGAGCTCCAAATCTGTCATATTTAAAATAAAAAGGGATCATTAAGACTATAGTATGAAAGTGTTTACTAGCCTTAAGAGGTGACTTTTCTTAAACATTTAAAATACCATTCCTTGAAACTAAAGAGTTATTTTCATTACAATCTATTTTATTCCAAATTTAAAAGTTACATATAAAATTTTACCTCCAGATCCTAACTGCTTGTAGAATCTGTATTCCAAATGTAGCTGTGGTGCTCTGGATTTCATGGGCTCCTAAAAAAAAAAAAGACAACATTTAAGTATTAAAAGATCACCAGGCCCCAACTGCAAATGTTATAAATTTTGGTGTCAACGCTTATATAATAGTCTACTAGTCATCTTTTTATAAGATTAGATCCACATAAAAACCAACTTTTTGTTCAATGTAAAATAAATAGAAACCATAAATATACATAAAGTTAAATAGCGATAGGAAAATCTCTGATGTTTAACTCTTTAACCCTGAAGAAAACTATGCTCTGAACATTCATGACTAGGGAAATAGTCGCCCTTATAATCTTTCCCTTGTTCTCAGAATTCACCTCTGAACTGTACAATTCTCACATAAAGGTTGTAAGTGAAACTGAAATCACAGAAAAGTAAGAAAGAACAAAGATGGTGACATGAAAATTTTGATAATAGCAATAATGCCCTTCTAAATATTTTCAATTGAAGTATAACTTACATACAATAAAACACACAGTTCTTAAGTGTTAGTTAGATCCATGAGCTTTGTTAACTCCAAGACCCCTACAGCCACTACACCAAACAATCTATTGATTATTCCACTTTCATTATCCCTCCTTCAGAGGTAATCCCTTTTTGGCTCTCACTGCCTTTGGATTACTTTTGTCTGTTGTTGGAGTTCATCTATAGACAGTAAATGCTTTACTCGCGTGTATGACTTTTATCAGTCAACATAAATATTTTTGAGATTCATACATATGCACGAATATACATACATACACAAAGACAACATGCACAGAAGCAACATAGACTTTAGATATTACAAATAATATTAAATGTGAAAATATCTACAGGAAACAGGAAAACTGTAACAGGGTAACACAGGAAATTTAAACAAGAACCAAAAGGAAACAGAAAATTTCAAAAGCAACCAACAGACCTGAAAAATAAAAATACAATAACTAAATTAAAAACTCAGTTTGCCAGTAGAAACACAACAGAAGAGAGAATTTAGTAATTGGAAGGCAGACGGAAAAACTATATAGAGAGCCGGATGCAGTGGCTCTCATCTATAATACCAGCTACTTAGATAGCTGACGTGTAAGGATTGCTTGACCCCCAGGAGTTGGAGGTTGTAGTGAGCTATGATCATGCCACTATACCCCAGCTGGGTGACACTGAGAGACCCCATCTCTTAAAAAATAAATGAATCAATTAATTAAATTTTAAAAAAGAAAAACTACACAGAATGCATTATGAAGGAAGAAAAAAAAGAAAACACAGAAGAAAGATTAGAGACCTGGATGGACAAGATAATAAGAAGGTTTAATATACATTAAAAATAGTCTTGGGAGGAAAGGAAAGAGAAAAGTGAGCAGAGGCAAAAACTGAAGAAATAATTGCTACAAATACTCAAGAACTGACGAGGGTAACAAACCACCAATTCAAGAGGATGTGAATCCCAAACAGGATAACTAAAAAGAAATTTATACCAAGATACATCACAATGAATCTATGACCAACAACAAAGACTTCAGATAAGCAACTATTAAAATCCTACTGGAAAACTTATAGTCATTAAGATTATTATAAGAGAAAACAATGAGATTAATTCATGAGAAATTCATCCAAAAATGTATTGGGGGACAAAAATTTTCACAGATTGTTGAACCATAGTTTGTCACTTAGTTTGCTATTTCCTTATATTTTTGATTGTTTGTTTGTATCTGTTATATCTGTTTGTATCGGGATAGTACAGATACTGTACTGCACTTAAGAGCACAAATACTGAAACTTAATTGTATAGGGTTTGAATCTTGAATGCACTACTTACTAGCTCTGTGACTTTGAGCAAGTTACTTAAACTTTCTGTACTTTTCAGTACCCTTATCTGTAAAATAACGTTAAAATTTTACCTTTCTCATAATATATACAAAGTACTTATAACAGTGCCTTCCACAATACAGTGCTATATAACCTATAATTCTTCAATTAATTATCTAAAAGTGTATAGCCTTAAGATATAACAAAAAGATGTCCACTTGAGTAATCACAAGCAAAATTAAACATATACCTTGTTTAATCACTAATACCCTGTAGGTAAAAATAGAGACTGAGATCTGACTTAGTTGAGTTGTTTCAACTTGATTCCAGTACTTTACTAGAAGTAAAATTTTATTATAACACCATATAACAAAAGTCGCCTTACAAAAGGATGACATTTTCATTATTTATGTACAACTGGTTATTATGTAAGTGCAAACAACAAGACATGAAAGTTGTGGCAGAGGTCAAATTAACAAATTATCCTGAAACAATCAATCTGAACTAGGATAATATTAGAAAAATGTAAAAATCTTTATAAGGGATAACAAAGCTCAAAGTAGTCACTGAAATCTGCATCTCTGAACACCATGCTATCAAATAACACCTTTATTTGTACCAAAATATAAAAACCAGATAGCACTGAAAGTACAGACATACACAGAAAGTACACAGTCATTACTTTTATGCCAGGTTTTGAACAAAATCATGTTATCTGTTGCAAGCAGATACAACAGATATAAACAAACAAAAATATAAGGAAATAGCAAACAAAGTAACAAACTATGGTTCAACAATCTGTGAAAATGTTTGTCCTCCCAATACATTTTTGGATGAATTTGATGAGAACATGATTATATACCACACTCCAACATCAAAATATTAGAGATATAGATCCAAAATTATTCCCAGTTCCCCTAAAGAACACTGAATAACCTTATTATACGTAGTGCCAATCATTGTGCTTTAAAAAAAGAGTAAGAGAAAGGAAGAATGTTCAAAAAAGGAGAAAAATAAGAGGATAGTGATATGGCACAAAAGCTTTAAAAAGTGATACATGTGTGTATACATAAGAAGGCTGAAAGATGACTTAATAAATGTTTACTAAGGTAGCAATGGTATGGACAAGGTAAACAAGTTCCAAATTTGAAAATAAAAGGACCCTTATAAGAGTCACTATTTTAATGACTGAAAACAGACAACGAAAGGTGAGCCTAGAGTAGTGGCTCCCACTTTCACATAATAGTTTATCTGCCTTTACATATAAGATGAATATCATTCACATGCAGAACATGTTCTCTGTGACTAGAGCTGCTCACTACAAGCTGCTGTATCAATACTCCCACCCACAATGTCATGCAATGTCTAGGTTCAAGATCACTGGCCTAGTGCATAGGTAAAGGGAGAATTTCAAAGAAATCAAAGTCAGCAATGCCCAAACACTGTCCAATTCCTGCACTCCCTTTTGCAAATTTCATGCTCATCAGGGTACCTTGTAATTTTAACTTGGCTTTCTCTGTAGATCAGCCTATAGGAAGAAATCTGGGCATTCTGGATCTATAATAGTTAAACGCCTCACTATAAATTAGAAATTAACTCTTTGCTGAATTTTTACATTTCTGAGAGCTTGACTGTGTGAATTGATTACTGTGAATCCACCTCCAAGAAACGACGACAATCTTTGTGAAATAACCTAACCAAATTTTGTGTCATAAAGCCAAAAACCAACCAGCCTTTAATACCAAGATGACCTCATCTAGGTAAATGCCAGTCCGAAGCCACATGTCAAAGAGCCAAGTCTCTCCTGATGGCACCAGAGCCCTACTGTGCATTTTTATTTCCCAGTGAAAATAAACAGCACTCATTGCAGTGAAACTTAGTCTATGCTTACAAAGATACTTAAAATTAAGTAGTAGAGATTTTCTATTTCATCCCAAAAGTTTTTCTATTGCCTCCCACTTGCCCTAATACTCTCTCTTTTATGTATTTATTTCACATTACCCTAACAACAGAGGTTATATTAGCAGAGAAAAGCTTGACAAAGGCAGGCAAACAGAGAAAAAACCAAACCATGCTAAGTCTCAGGAAAACCTGGCTGGAAAACCAAACAGAAAAGTTGTGGCAGATGAAAGTATGTCTTTTAAAACTAATTCCTAGATCCCAATTCTGCCTTATGGCTGTCATGCTAGGCACATTTAAGACTTAAGAATAATCTCACAGCAGTTTGCTTTCCCTCTATCCCCTACCACATCAAACATTTCTGAAACTCTGAAAGTCAAGCAATAGGCCAGCTTACCATATATACCAATAAAAAAAGAAATTTCAGAAGCTACCTAGAAATGTTTTCAAAGAACATAATCCTGAATACTAAACTACTTTTGTCAAAATGTTTGAATCAGAAGAATAAATTTGCTTTCTAATTTTTATCTAATTAAAACTCCTTCCCTAAATTAAAAATAGTGCCAAAATTCAAAAACTCAATTCTACAACGCTGCTAAAGAAAAGGTATTGAGCTTTTGTTGCACAGAAAATCATAAATGTCCTTTATACATTTACAAATGTCCTTTATACATTTACATATACAAATACATTATCATATATTTGAAGGGCGTAATGATGTTACGAGCAAAATAACAAAAGATCAGTTGGACATATAACTTTTCAAATAAACAGCCAAGTTATAAATGATGTGAAAACAAAATATAATTAAAATATGAGATAATAATTAAGCAACAGGAATTAAGGAAAATTAAGAAACATGAACTTACCAGTTTAATTGCCACATATTCATTTGTGTATAAATTTTTCCCTTGAAAAAGAAAAAAAAACATCAGATTCTGCCGGTAATTAATTTTTAAAGATATATTATATAAAACTGTACTCTGGACAAGAAAGCACATAATACATTTAAATAAAGCATAGTTTTATGCTTCTGACTATTTAGTAAAAAACTCAAGAACAAAGAAATAGTTAAATTTATGATTAATTCAATTTTGTATTTAGTATTTCACCTGGATTCAGAGTAGAAAGTCAAACTAAAAATACTTTAGCCCATGTACAAAAATAAGAGGATTCTGAGTTTGGTAAAATATTGTATATAATTTAAAAAGTAATTAACAGTCAAGTGTATGCTAAAAAATTTCATAACCAGAATTTCTGTATAATAACAGGAATACAAAATTCCTCTCCCAATGACCATCTTATTTTAAATTCTTCTTTAGTACAGGATATAATCTTACTACGGCTCATATTTAATTCAGTGGATATATCAAGTACATTTTTAAAATCTGAAATATATTAAAAATGAAATAAAATAAGAAAATTATTCAACAATTGGCTCAGAAAAACTAGTTAACTACTTTGTGGGGAAAAATGATTAATAGTGCCTCACCTTATGACTAAATTAATTCCAAATATTTTAAGACTTAAATATAAGCTAAAAAACAAAAAAAAATATTATCATCCCCATATATGAAGGCCTTTCTGAGTGTAAGAAGACATAAAGAAGACAATCAGAAGGTTTTATATAGATTTGATTACATAAAATATTTTAAACTCCTGCATGTTGGAAAAAACCTACCATATATAAAGTATAAAACAAACCAGAATACAGATTTAATATCACTGACATGTAAAAAATTCAAATGAATTACAGTAATCTTTAGCATTGGCAAAATCAAAAATAATACAGAAAATTCCAACAGGCCAGCATCTACAGCCCAAGTAGAATACTAAGATAAGTATATTTTAAGAAATGAAAAAATAATACAATGATTTTTAAATTTCCAGTATTTTTTCAATTAGTATGTATTACTTTTGTAATGAGGGAAATAGAACAATGGCAGATTTTTTTCCAACTGTGAGAATAACTGGCCCTGGTCACACTGGCTACTGAACACAGAAGAAGCAATCGTCAACTTTGATCCATGTGCTTTTCCAACATAGCACCGCTAACCTCCTTCCACACAGCAGCTGATGAATAAATGGCAATAAAACTTTCAGGCAAAATTTCAACCTCAAATATGTTGCCACCTTTGTACAGTAGTTCATTTGTATATATAATTTTCTTCTAAATTTTGTCCTTATTGTATAAAAATGAGTGAAAACAAAGAGAAAAAATTTACAATAAAGCTAAGTAGAATGAATAGGTCTCATAAACTCAATATATTTGGGAAAAGGATGTAACTTCAATAGAAGTAACAAAAGCGGTGAACGCTAAGCTCTATTCAGATAGTCACTGAACCTATGTAAATATAAAAAAGAGAATTGTTCATATTTTTAGTCAACTAGTTCACCATTTAGTTGTGGCTTCATACACATTTTCAAGAATGCATTATGTATGAAAATTTAGGTTTCCTCTTGTAAGCTTGCAGTGCATAATTTAACAATACAATGAAGAACTTAATCTTGAAAACTGTTCTCTAAAATAGCAAAGAAACAAGTCTGGTTTTGAGTTCAAAGATTATATTTGTATTTCCTCAAGATATAATCATCTTTCCATAACTATATTATATATGATGTTTATTTATAATTACACAGGAAAAAAAATTCACAGGACAACTTAGGTTAAATATAGATCCCATAGAACCAAAATGTACCAATTCTTCTAAAAGTACTGTTTTTGTTTGCTTTTATATGGTCAGTGTGTACCTTTTAGATCAGAGCAAAAGACACTAAAGCATCATCTTTATTTGAACATTAGAGATTTTGCTAAAACTTGGGGTCACATTTATAAACATGAACAAAGATTAAGTAATAATATAAATGCATTTTTGTCACCTAGCATGGCCACAGTCTCACACAGATGACTTTTAATCAATATTTGTACACACATAAACAAATTATGCACAAAGTATACATTTGTACGTATGGTACGAGTGAAAAGGAAGAAATGTGCACTTAGCAGAACCCCATTAAAAGAAGCCTCCAAGTAGACTTGTGCCAGTTAAGTGATGTTTTAATCCAATTTCAAAAGACATTTCCAATGAAGCTCTGTGCCATATTAAACTTGGAGAGATAGTTTTACCAATTTTGTAGTACTGGGTTCGTAATTTATTACAGAAAACTATGTTCTTCAGAAACTATTTTTATGTTTACAAGCAGGAACCAACTAGTACCAATATCCATTCTCCCCATGATAACAACAGAATGCCCAAGTACAAAAACGGCTGCCCAGCTAGAGACTACATTTCCCAGCCTCTTATTTTAGCTTCATGTGACCATGTGACTAAGTCCTGGTTATAAACAGACATGAAATATGTTACACCCACTTCCAGGAACAAATGTGTGCCCTCCTGGCTCTTTTTCTTCTTCTTGCTGGCTGGCTGGGAGAAAAAAATGAGAGCAATACCCTTGTACGCAGAAACCGAAGTCGCATATTAAGGATGCCGAGGTACCCTGATAGCCTTGGATGCTCTCCCTCTGGTCTGTTACGTGAAGTAAAAATAATCTATTTGCTTAAAACCACTACATTTGGGGATTTTTTTGTTATAGCATTATAGTCTACTCCTTAGTTATTACATTTTGCAGGTAAGTTTTATATTATAATATACTTCTGTTAGAAGTAGAAAATAAATAAACATAAAAACGATGAACCCATCCAAATTTACATATTTATTTGATATGTGTTATAAGGCCTGCAGAATTTTTAACAAAATAATTCTCAAACATAAACAATAAAATAAGGAGAGTTATGAGCTATGTGGGAATAGGAAGAGAAGAAACAAACATAAGCAATGTTATGGAAACTCCTATTAGTATACTTACTTATGTCAAAAGCTACAATATCTTATTTCAGATATAGTTATTCTTAAAGCAATATAAAACATCCTTGCACTATATTCTTCAATGTGATGGTCAGTCAGGTGTGGCCACAAGAGTACACAAGAAAGGCTCAAGAAAACGAAGTTTCTTATACTCACAAGTCCTAGAGAGAGGGTCACACTGAATGCCACTCAGGGTCACAGGGGAAGCACCAAGTTTTGATTAGGTTGCAGAAGACAGGAACAAGGGGAGAACTTAAACCAAAGCTTTTATTGGAGTTTCCAGGCTAAAGGAAGGCAGCGTAAACAGTTTAGGATTCCTAGTCTGAATCATTCCGGTGACCCTGGGCTATAAGGGTGGTTTCTATAATAGTTGCCTTATACTTGGCTCTGGCAGGATTAAGGCATAGGAATATAGCCTCCTGAGTATGTTGGCCAGACAGAAAAGGTATGGCTATGGATTGGTTAGTCTGCATATCAAAGGCATGCTGAGTCTTTTGCTAACTCAGAATTAATTGGCTAAGCCCAGGAGGGGCATTTTCTCCCCAGTCAGAAAGGTTTTTTAAGAGGTCCAAATATCATAATGCACAGAAAAATTGAAAAATATAAACAGTACAACCTTATATTTTAGCTAGCTATGTTTGGTCTCATTCAGTGCATGTCAAAAACATTCCTAGGAGTTAGACTGTCTAAATTAGAAATATAATACATATACCAATGCAGAATGCAAACCTTATTACCAATACATAAAGATAAAATAAAACCACAAATACAGATGGTCCCCAACTTACAACAGTTTGACTTAAGATTTTTTGACTTTATGATGATGCAAAAGCAATATGCATTCAATAGAAATAATATTTTGAATTTCAATCTTCAATCTCTTCAACTCAAAAAAAGGGAGGGGTTATTTTACTGCTTTTTCAGTATATAGCATATATAGTTTCAGTATTTGGTACATACAGTTTATCATATTGCCCTGATTAAAATGGCCCACTAAATTTGTTTTGTGTGAATACACACACACACATATATACATACACACACACATATATGCATGTATACATATTCATGTGTATGTGTATATATATTTTTTGAAATAAATTATATGAAACAAACTCTGAATAAAAATGGCCAAAGTATATGCATTGGTATATGCAAAGTATACGCATTGGTCTTTTTATATTATCATCAATTTAATCCTCACACTAACCTAGGAAGTAGAAATAGTAGAGAAATTTGAGGCCCTGAGTGGTTAAATGATCTATGGGTTCCATAATGGCAGGGACTATTTATTTTTCCAGTGTATTATCAGTGCCTAATCATGCCTTGTACCTGGATAGCCATACAATAAGTATTGGATGGATGTTGTGCAAAGTTATACACAAAAATAACAGATATAAACAAGTAAATAATGTTTTCTCTAACTCCAAAATCAGAAGCAATTTAAGAATATCAAAGTACCTAACACAATGTTCTTCAAAAAATAAAATGTGAAATATTCACCCTTTCAAGTATTTGAGTCCCTACTAAATGCAATAGAGCCTCCCAGCCACATCATGTTATAACTATGTACAGAGTATATCATTGCCTTTTATTGGCTTGCTTCATTTAACTATTTAATGTATATTTACACAAAACTAATAAGATGAAGGAGTCATTACAAATTAGGGTGCTTCACAAGATGAAAGCAGAAGTAGTTGAGTAGATAAACATAAAATTGGATTTATTTGTAGCAACAGGGTTGGATCTAAGGAAAACTGTGAAGCCAAATTTTTCTTTTTACATCTGAAGTTCCCACTCTTGGTAGTCAATTGACCAGAGCCCTCATGGCATCTCAACAGCGACTTCTATATAACCATACCATCCTTCTTCTTTTTTCTTATCAATAGAGATAACCATATCTGCACTGAATCAGTAATGTATTAGGGGTTAAAAGACCTATATTTTGATTCTTCTGAATCTGTCATTAAATTGCTATGGACATCTGACAAGTAACTTACCCTCACTGAATTTTAATTGCCTTAAATGTAGAGTTAGAAGATTTAATAAGACCATTGTTTCCCCAACTTGCCTGATTATAATAACCTGAGTCAATACTCTTGAGTCCCTTGTGACTCTTGAACCCCACCCCAGACATACTTGGGGGCCATAGGGCAGGAAGGAAGGAGAAAGAATAAATTATAATGTAAATTTCATTAATTTTAGTAGTTTCAACATATTAACTTGACGTTAAGCTATACATGTTCTCTTAAAGTGATCAGTAACTAAATGTGTTCAAGTCTGAAAAAGTAGGCTAACTATCATTCCTAAGTAACACATTACAAAGGCTTTACTGGCAGCTATTTCTGCCTGCTGGGCCTTTTTAATTTACTTTCTTGTGTTGTCATATTCTAGATAATTTCAAGAATGTAGACATTCTGATCTAGGGAATTTCTTGAAAATACAAGTACACAAAAAATTTCCAACATTTGTATTCTTTAAAATTACCATAATAATTAAGCAAACAATTAAACAACTAAAATCATTTTCATTAAAAAGTATCTTCTATTAAAAAATGCTTCTAACATAATGAAATAAGATAGTCTTACCTAATCGTAATTCTCCAAAATTGCCACACCCAATTTTTTTTCCAACTCTAAAGTTAGGTCCAACCATTAAAACTCCAGATGATGAAGATCCAGTTCCTCGAGTATTATGCCCCGATCGACCACTAGGCCGTGCCATTCTATCATCTGATTTGTCCTTGTCTTTCTTTTTATTATCCATATCAAGTTTGCGGTACTCCACTTTGAATTCTTTAATCAAGACAAGCACACTGAAATAGGGTATTGTGAAAATAGGTACATCACTAGGTAACTGTACCAGGTGGGTAATGTTAACATTCAAATTGCAGAAGGTAGTCAATTAACTGGAGCGTGTTCATCCCATTCGTAAAATTTTTCTCAGTTGTCTTTTCAGCAAAACATGTCTTCAAAATTATCTTTTCAATGATGTGAGCTGATATTGATAGAAAGCTAGAATATGAAGAAAAGAAAATTAGTCAGCTAAGAGAATTTAAAAATATATGATTGGGAATTTAGATAACATAAAAGTTTAGGCAATGAATTATTGCTATTTGTTGATGTCCCTGAAATCAAACCACGGTAGACTGTTAGATTAACCATTACCTTTTATTTCTATACTTAAATACCTAAGAAATCTTAAAAACAAGACAAAGAAAGGAAATCAGGGATTCAAGTTACATCTTAAAAATAAAAAAAGGAACAAAAATGTACTGAGTAAAACTGAGTAAAAGGAACAAAAATGTACTGAGTAAAACTGAATAAGATCTCTGTGTCCAGCCATGATAGAATAACTGATACTGAATATCCCTCCTACTGTAAACATAAAGCCAGATAAAACACATGAAGCACTTGTTTTCAGGCACCGGATAACACGCAATACATGCTGTGATCCTTTAGGGAAAAAACACAAAAAGTTCCACTTTATCCAAGTTCTCTGACTAGGGAACAATTTCCTGACTATAGCACAAGAAAGTAAGGCTAAGGCCGCACACAGTGGTCACAGAACAGAGTTTGCAGCTGTTGAAGTGAGTGGAATTTGTGGTACATGGTACCCAAAGTGAGGGAGTTTAGCAGTGGGGGCTAAGTGGACAGCAGGGCAGAAGGCTAGGCTACACATATGCAGTGGCACATTCTAAAAAAACTGGCAGATTATGGCTACTACAGGATTAAATGAAGAATGGAGATACTAGAGGCTGCTTAGTACTGGGAGACTTTAGAGTTCCTATCCAGTCATGATGGAGGGACCTCATTAACATCCCAGGCATGCAGCTGAAACATCACAAAAATTTAAAAGTAAGGACCTACGTACAGTAAGGACTACTCTAGACTGGCCCAACTATAGCCTAAAACCAAACCTAAATAGCACTGAAGAGTAGCTCTGAGTAAATTAACTGCATTCCAGAACAAAAGTCAACATTCTCAAAAAGAAAAAAACCTAGACTCTCAACAATATTGAATTTACAATGTTCACCATACAATTAAAAATATATCAAACATGCAAAGCAGCAATAAATGAAATCCATAGCCAGGAAACGAAGTTGTCCAAGGAAACAGATCCCAAGATGACCCTAATGTTTGAATTAGAAGACAGAATTTTAAAACTACTAAATAGCTATTAGAGGCCTATCAAACCAAAGAAAAAGAATAAGACAAAAAATATCTGAAGAAATAATAGCTGAAAATTTCCCCAATTTGGTGAAAATCTACCTACAAATTGAAGATACTCAGTAATCCCATAAAACTAAATTCAGGAACATCATAGTCAAACTTCTAAAAACCAAAAATAAAATCTTGAAAGCATACAGAGAAAAACTACACATGACATACAGAACTAGCTTCTTAACAGAAACAAGAGACAATGGAATAACAATATTTTCAAAGCAATGAAAGGAAGAAAAAAAAAACTTTCAACCCAGAATTCCAGATGCAGTAAAGTCATTCCTTAAAACTAGGTGTAAGAAAGCCATTTTCAAATGAAAAAAAGCTAAGAATTAAGTCACCAGCAGACTTACAAAACAAGAAATACTTTTTAAATAGTCCTTTAAGCTGAAGTAAATCACATGATACCAGATAGAAGTATGAACCTTGAAGAAAAAATGAAGAGTGTGAAAATGGGAAATGCATGAGTATCTGTTGCATTTAAAGATAAATTACTATCTAAGGCATAAGTAATTTCTTAGAGTCATTTATAACATATGTGAATGTAAAATACAGGACAATTGGCAAGAGGGAGAATTTATAAATGAACTTCATTGTTTTAAAATTTCTTCTTAGGCCGGGCGCTGTGGCTCACGCCTGTAATCCTAGCTCTTGGGAGGCCGAGGCGGGCGGATTGCTCAAGGTCAGGAGTTCAATACCAGCCTGAGCAAGAGCGAGACCCCGTCTCTACTATAAATAGAAAGAAATTAATTGGCCAACTGATATATATATAAAAAATTAGCCGGGCATGGTGGCACATGCCTGTAGTCCCAGCTACTTGGGAGGCTGAGGCAGGAGGATTGCTTGAGCCCAGGAGTTTGAGGTTGCTGTGAGCTAGGCTGACGCCATGGCACTCACTCTAGCCTGAGCAACAAAGTGAGACGCTGCCTCAAAAAAATCAAAATTAAAATAAAATAAAATAAAAAACCACACATGAAATAGAACAAATTCTCCCCACAAAAGGTAGAAACTGTCAGACTATATAAAAAAGCAAAATCTATACTACATGCTATCTATAAGAAACAATTTTAGCCAAGAGACTCCTGGAATTGATAAATTCAGCAAAGTCTCAGGCTACAAAATCAATGTACACAAAATCAGTAGCATTCCTATACACTAACAACAGTCAAGCTGAGAATCAAATCAAAGATTCACTACCTTTCACAATAGCACCAAAAAGAATAAAATACCTAGGAATATATTTAACCAAGGAGGTGAAAGACCTCTACAGAGAGAACAACAAAACACTGATGAAGGAAGTCATAGAGGATGTAAACAAATGGAAAAACATACCATGCTCATGGATCAGCAGACTCAACATTGTTAAAATGTCTACACTACCCAAAGTGATCTACAGATTCAATGTAATCCCCATTAAAGTACCAATGTCATTTTTTTATAGATCTAAAAAAAATAATTCTATGCTTCCCATGGAACCAGAAAAGACCCTGAATAGCTGAAGCAACCTTAAGCAAAAAAAAAAAAAAAATTGGGAGGCATCCCTTAACCAGACTTCAAGTTATACTACCAGGCAATATTGACCAAAACAGCATGGTACTGGCACAAAAATAGAGACCTAGACCAATGTATCAGAATAGAGAACCCAGATTTAAAACCATCCTCATAATGCCATCTGATCTTTGACAAAGCAGACAAAATCTACACTGGGAAATAGAATCCTTATTCAATAAATGGTACAGGGAAAACTGAATAGCCACATGTAGAAGACTGAAACAGGATCCACACCTCTCATAAAAATTCATGATGGATAACAGACTTAAAACTAAGGCATGAAACTATAAGGATTCTAGAAGAGGAGGTTGGAAAAACTCTTTTAGATATCAGCCTAGGCAAAGAATTTATGAAGAAGATCCCAAAGGCAATTACAGCAACAACAAAAATAAATAAATGGGACCTGACCAAATTAAAAAGTTTCTGCACAGCCAAGGAAATAGACCGAACAGACAACCTACAGAGTGGGAGAAAATATTTGCATATTACATATCCAATAAAGGGCTAATAACTAGATTCCACAAAGAACTCAAGCAAATCAGCAAGAAAACATCAAACAAATCCATTAAAAAGTGGGCAAAAGCCATGAAAAGAAGCTTTTCAAAAGAAGATAGACTAATGGCAAATAAGCATATGAAAAAAATGTTCAACGTCTCTAATCATCAGGGAAATGCAAATCAAAACCACAATGAGTTATCACTTAACTCCAGTAAGAAGGCTTTTATCAAAAAGTCCCCAAACAATACATGCTGGCGAGGACGCAAAGAGAAAGGAACACTTATATGCTGTCAGTGGACTGCAAACTAGTGAGAAAAGAACGCTTATATACTGTTGGTGGGACTACAAACTAGTACAGCCTCTATGCAAAGTGTATGGAGACACCTCAAAGAACTAAAAGTAGACCTACCATTTGATCCAGCAATCCCACTACTGGGTATTTACCCAAAGGAAAAAAAGACATTTTAGAAAAATGACACTTGTGCTCGAATGTTTATTGCAGCACAACTCATAATCGCAAAGATGTGGAAACAACCCAAGTACCCATCAATGCATGAGTGGATCAATAAAATGTGGTATTACTGTACACCATGGAGCATTACTCAGCCATTTAAAAAAATGGCAAACTAATACCTTTTGTAACAACCTGGATGAACCCAGAGACCATCCCTTTAAGTGATGTATCACAAGAATGCAAGAACAAAAACCACATGTACTCACTACTGAACTGAAACTTACAGATCAACACTCATGTGCATATATGGTAGTAAAATTCAACAGAAATCAAGCAGGTGGGAGGGGATAGGACAGAATGGTTAAATTCACACCTAATGGTTACAATGCACACTATATGGGTGACAGACACACTTATAACTTTGACTCAAACTGTACAAAAGCAATTCATGTAACCAAAACATTTGTACTCCTGTAATATTCTGAAATCAAAATAAAGAAAACAATTTTAAATACAGAGTTAAAGACATAGATTGACTGAAAGTAAAAGAATAGAAAAAGATATACTATGCAAACAGTACATATAAAAAAGCTTGTTGAGTCCAAAATATTATCAAACTTTGTCAAAACAAAGTAATATCTCTGAACTTACAGAGGTCCATTTCATAATGATAAAAATATCAATTCAACAGAAAGACAAAAAATCATAAATATATGCAAGCAAAATGATGCAAAAATAAAACTAAAGGAAAAAAGACAATCACAGTTAAAATTTTTTAACACCATTCTTTCAGTAATTGATAAAGTAAGAGACAAAAATACTAGTATAGTAGATCTAAATAATACCACTGACTACCTTAAACTGACATTTATAAAGTACAACATCCAAAACTTCAGAATAAAATGTCCTTTCAATGTTCACCAAGAAAAATCATATGCTGTGCTACAACTGAAGTCCCAAGTAACTCAAGTATTATAGAGTATATTCTTTGATCAAAATAGAATTAAATTAGAAATCAATAACTACATGGTATCTAGAAAAGCCCCAAAATTTGAAAATCAAACATACTTTTAAATAAATTATGAGTTGAAAAAGAAATCACAAGGAAAATTAGAAAAAATTCAAACAGGATAATAATACAATATATTAATTTTTACAGGTTACAGCTAAAGCAATGCTTAGAGGGAAATTAGAAGCTTTAAGTGCCTACATTAGAAGACATTTTTAATCAACAATCTAGGTTTTCTCCTTAAAAAGCTAGAAAAAGAGCCAATCAGATGTAAGTTGA